TTCCAGCTGTCCGCCACGAACAAGTGGTACTTCAGGGACGGGGGATGTATTTCAGGTGTGAAAGTGCGTGTGACAGAAGCAGCACCGCAGGTCGGGAGAAGACGACGGACTGTCCGGCCGGTGGCAGGCAGAGTAACTCACACGGGAAACCGGATCCTACCCTAAATGCGCTGAAGAACGACCTGGGTTAAGGAAATGTGAAAACTTGCTCAGTGGCTCGTCCCCAGCGCTCCGGGCAAGAGCAGTGGCGCCAAGCGGGCCCAGCGGCCTGGCTGACCGCTGACCGCTGCGGGAGGGACGCTCGCCGCGAGCGCATGCGCGCGCGGTGCTGGCCCGGGCCGCCCCCCCCCCCCCCCCCCCCGCGCAGAAGCCCGCGGGCACGAGCGGCGGGCTGGAGCTCTCGTCCTCCCGTGCGGCAGCCGCTGCGGAAAAGAATGAAAACAACGAGTCTTAACACGACGAGGGAAGAAGTCCGGCTGCCCAGGCACCCCGGGGGCAGCTAGTGCGGAGGCGGGGCACACAGCAGAGGGCGGCGCGGCGGGCTCCGGGGACCGCGCTCGCGTTGGGGCTGGGGGCCGGGCCTCCCTCCTGCGCAGGCGCGGCCGCGAGCTCCGCGCGCGGGGCGGGGCGTGGGCGGGGCCTGTTGCCGCGGCTGGGCTGTTCGCGGCCAGCCAGACCCGCCCGGCGACCCGGAAGAGCCGCTGCGGTCAGGATGGGCCGGAAGGTGACCGTGGCCACCTGCGCGCTCAACCAATGGGCCCTGGACTTCGAGGGCAATTTGCAGAGGATTTTAAAGAGTGAGTCTGGGGGCGGCGGGGTGGGGGGAGTAGGAGGACGGGGTAGGGTGGGGGGTGGTGTCCTGGGTAGCGGAGCCGGGGTCCGGGGCGGGACAGGTGCGAGTGGGGACTGGGTGCGGCGGGCACAGGTGCTGGGGCAGCGGAGGGATGGGGTGGGGCAGGGGCGGGCGGGGTGGCGGGGTCACGGGGTGGGGGCGGGCCGAGGTCCAGGCCGGCCCCTGCTTGCTTGTGATGCACACAAGTCCCTGCTCTTTGGAAGGTCGCAGCCTACCTGGGGGCAGATGAGATGATGCATAATGACTGCCCCCTTCGCGGGCCACTCCTGAATTGGGGTGGCTTCCCGGGCCTGGGGGGACCCCTGGTGTACACTCGTGGTAGGGAAAGCCTGGCTGCAGAGGTAGGGACAGGGATCAGAGGCTGAGGCTTACCTGTCTTCATACCTCTGGGGTCGAGTGTGGCTCAGCCAGGGCCCAGCTGCTGAGAGGTGCTAAGTTGCCCATGTTTAGAGGCCTTTAAGGGGAGAGCGTGGCCAACCACCAGCGAGGAGGATGTCGTGAAGAAGTGTCCCAGGAAACATGGTTTTGTAACCAGAGAACTGGTTCCCAACTCAGGCCCGGCAGCTTGCTGTCCACACTCGAGCAACCAGTGATGGGGGGTGGGTTAAGGAGAAAGTTGCTTTATTCAGGAACCAGGCAGCCTGGGAAGATGGTGGGCTAACGTGTCAAAGGCCATCTAACCCCTGTCCAGGGGGAGCCTGAGGGTTTCAAAGGGGAAGGTTCTGGAAGAGGGAGGGGGCTGTGTGCGGGAGGAGCAGGTGCCTAGACGGCAGTCGGATGTGGTCGCAACCCTGAATGGACTCACCGGCATCCCCCCACCCCCTGAGCTGCTCTCGATGAGGTCAGGGTGCATCATCTGGGAGAGCCAGGTCCCTCACCCCGGGAGGCCAGTGGTCTGACGATCTCAAGGAGAGCAGGTTGGTTCTGCGGCAGATCCAGGGTCTTAGGTCAGCAAGCGAGGAGCACGTGAGCTTGAAGCACGTCAGACTTCAAGACAGGCGGGAGCGCCGTTCCTGTGTCTGGTGCCTGGAGACCATCCTGATGGGTAGACTGCGGGAGAAGCCGGCCCCAGGAGGGGAGCAGAGTGAGGGACAAGCCTGGGAGCTTAGAGACTAGGGTGTGGTTGTTGCGAGGGTCCCATATGGGAGCCTCGGCACCAGCTCATCTGTGAGTGGAAAAGGTCCAACTACTCATACGTACCGCTGGAGCGGGGCGGTCCTGGGTAGTCCCACAGCTGTGCTCACGCCAGGCCGTCTCGCTCGGAGCCACTCCTTGCAAGAGGGTTTGCTAAGAGCAGTAAGAACAGGAGGTGTGCGCGAGGGCATCTGTTCAGCAGCGCCCTGGACCCTCACCCTCAACCTGCTTTCTTCTCATCGAGTGCAGAGCAGTCGTTGGAGCGAGGCGGTCAGTGGCCAGAGCTGAGTCTCTGCTCCGGTGGCCTTTCCCCGGCAGGTGGGCCCTAGGCCCGCCGTCCCAAACCGGAGGTTGCTGGTACCCAGTGGTGCCGCTGTAGGCTGCGGTCCCTTGAATCCCGCCCTCTCTCTGCCCTCCATCTTCCACACCTGCCCGTTAATGAGCGACCAGGCTATGGCTTCCTCCCCCTCCCCCATGCTAAGGGTCAGTCCTGCAGGCCTCGTGTCTTGTTTCCTGCCGGTGTAAGCTGCGTCTGTGGGACAGCCGCTCCTCGGCCGCGTGGGTCGGGGTCCGGGAGACCCCTGAGTGCTCTGGTTCGTGGTCTGCTTTTCCATCCCCCCGATGCAGCAGTGTTTCATCCGCCCGACTGCGGTGTGAGTACTGAAACTGCTCTTCTCTCTCTTTCTCAGGTATCGACATTGCCAAACGCAAAGGAGCGAGATACAGGCTGGGACCGGAACTGGAAATATGGTGAGAGTTGAACACGGACCCCGCAGGGCAGGGGGGTGGAGGGAGCGGCATCAGCTCCCTGAGGTGGAAACGCAGCGGAGGGGGTGGGCACAGGGAGGTGCGGCTGTGCGGGCCTGCCGAGGGCCATTGGAAGCCGGCGAGTGGGCCTGCTGGTGGCCTGGAGTCCCGGCCGCCGGCTGATGGCCAAGCCCACCACCCCTCCCAGGCCCTCACTTTCACGTGTGGCCGTCACTTCCTGGTCTCGGCGTGTCTCCACAAGCGAGTGCGAGTGGTCATTTCCGCTGTGCCTTCTCGCAGCAATCGGGAAGCCGGGTCCTCCTCGTCCCTTATGCAGAAGTAAGCAAGCGGTCGTCGCGTTTAAGTGTCTTACGAACTATGGTGGTTTCGTGACAGACGTCAGCGGCCCTCTGGGTTCCCACATGCGCAAGTCCTGGCCATTCGTGGGATCGGAAGTCCCTGCTCGGGCCATGACGCCGCCTCGGTTTCTGGGCTTTGTGTAAACAGAAAGCGTTTCTTTGCCAGTGTCTTTGTGTCTGTCCTCAAGGCCACTCCTGTCCTTCTCCTCGCGAGCTGGACTTCTGTGCTTGGAACCCCAGCTTCAGCTCAGGCTGTGTCTCCCATAGTAGCCAAGGGCTTTTGTACCCTCACTTAACGTGCTCTTCAAGACACTCCTCAGGCCCTGGGGTCCTGGTGTGTCTATGTGACCTCTACCCCCGGGGTCCTGGCTCTGTCTTTATATTTTGTCTGTTCTTCCCACTGCAGGGCTGCCCTCAATAGCCCCGTCCCCCAGAGTTATCGTGGCCCAGACACTTCCAGGGTAGGTCCTTGCCCCTTTCTTTGTCCTGTGCTCTCCCCACACCTGGCCCCCAAATCTGGACCTGTCATTTGAAAAGACGGAGGATTTTAGCTACGGGATCCCAGGATGGTATAGTTGTATCATGTCATTTTTAGCCCGCTGAGCAGGCCCCCCTTTATTACTTGCCACAGTTTGCAGAGAGGAAGCTGGGGCAGGAGGGGAGCCAAGCCCGTTCACAGAGCACGCCCACTTCCTGTCCCTGGTGGTCAGGGCTCCAGCTCCCCCCCCAAAAGGGGCACTTGGAAGGCCAATGAGGGGCCGGTGCCCCTGGGATGGGCTGACTTGCGGACCTAGAGGTCCTTTGCCAGAAAGGCTGTCTGTGTTCTTCTGGCCAACTTGGTAGACTTTGCGGATGGACGACTGCTGCCTAAACTGGGCAGGGGGCACTTACAGCCCCCGTTACAGAATGCCCCTCCGGCTGTCGGCCAGCCCCAGGGCCAAGGGGCCCTCTGATGCCTGCACGTTCGGCATGTGTTACTGTCCGGTATCCCATGTGGCGCGGGGGCCACCAGGGCACGAGACCCCCGGAACAGGACTCTGCCCAGGAAAAGGCCAGCCCAGGTCTTGAGCCCTCCCCAGGGGCATCTCCTTGATCTCATTTTCCTCTGAGAACCTGGACTTTCCTTCTCAGAGCCCAAGGCCGAGAGGCCTGCCTTCTAGACGTTAACCACGCAAATGCCCGTTGTGGAGGTCTGCGTCCGCCTGCACAAGCTTTGCTCGGCACCTGTGACATCGCTCCCAGGCCGCTGCACCGGAGGAAGGACACGTTTTTGAAGATTTGAAAGTAGCTTACCGACGCTCTCTGCTCTGTTCCCGGCACACACGTGCCAGGAGACTGACTGCAAGCCTGTCTTCATGTTTCATGACGTCCTGGAGCTCTGAGTTTCCTGGGGCTGCTGGAAGCACAGTCCCACAGGCTGGGTGACTTCAGGCAGCTGGTTCTGGAGGCCAGAAGCCCCAAATCAGGGTGTTGACAGGGCCCTGCTTCCTCCAGAAGCTCCAGGGGAGGACCTGTCCTGTCTCATCTAGCTGTCACTCCCAGTCCCTTGTCCTGCGGCCGCATGCCTCCCCTCTCCGTTTTCCCGTGCCCCCCCTCCATGTCGTGTCCTCCTCCTGTTGGATTCAGACCTGCCCAAGTCGTTCAGGCTCCTCTCCTCCTTAGATCCTTAATTACCTCTGTAGAGACCCTTCCCCCGAGTGCGGTCATGTTCCCGGGCTCTGGAGGGTGGGAGGGGACGCAGGTTTCTGGGGGAGCCGTCTGGGGGACGCCGTCCAGCCAGCTACCAGCATGACTCACAGCCGGAGCTAGGAGTCGCTCTGTGAGCGGTAATGGAAGGATGTTAATGATGCCCCTTGCCTGAGGAGCATCTTCCTGTGGGTCCGGCTCTGTAGATCCATGGGATTTTGGCTGCGTTTACAGTTAAAAAAAAAAACAAAACCCATAGGTAGACATATTGACACAAGTGAGAATTTCTCACTGTAATTTAAAGCTAGAAGAAAGAGCTTGGGGCCACAGGTTTCTTCATTTCCGGGGAAACACATCTTCTGTGGTAGCAGTGATCCTAGCTCGGGTTAAAGAGGGCAGTCTTGGGCTGCACTCCCGCACGCCTGGCCCCGATGGCCCGTGGGCCCCTACTGTCCCCCCAGTGTCTCCCGGGCTTCCCTGCCCCCCTGCTCGCCTCCCCTGGGGCAGCTCCGGGGCTCATGCGCCTGCTCCCTTCCTCTGCAGTGGCTACGGGTGTTGGGATCATCACTACGAGTCAGACACCCTCTTGCATTCGCTCCAAGTCCTGGCCGCCCTTCTCGAATCTCCGGTCACTCGGGATATCATCTGTGACGTGGGAATGTAAGTGCCAACGTGAGCGTCGGGAAGGCAAACTCAAAATTAGAAAGGTTCAGGGTGCGAGCTCTCCTACGGGAGGGGTGTGGAGTCCGCACATTCCAGATACAAAAGGCCTCTGTTGAAAAGTGGGTTTTGTTCCCTCCCCGGCCTGTAGACCCCTAAGTCCCCCTCGGAGGCAGCTCTAGGAAGCGGTTTTGCAGATTCCCCCAGAAGCGCCTGTGTGTGTGGGAGCGCAGGGTGCACAGTGGGAGCACAGCGTTCTCCCTCCCGCGCGCAGACGCACATGGCACTTTCTTCACTTAATGGTAAGTTCTGGGATGATGCCATGTCACTCCCCATCAGCGCGCGGACCCCATGGTTCCATAGGTGCAAGTGTACACGGCACGGGTATGTAGGGGGCGGGGTCCAGAGATGCTGGTGTATACAGTGCAGGTAGGTAAGGGGGTGGGCTCCATAGGTGCAGGTGTATATGGTGTGGGTATGTAGGGGGCGGAGTCCAGAGACGCAGGTGCATATGGCGCAGGTACGTAGTGGTCCCCTGCGTCTCTGCTTCCTTGCTCACAGCTCCTGCTCTGATCCCCTCCTCCCTCCTGTAAGGACCTGGTGGCTTTAGTGCGCGGCCCCAGGTAGTCCGGGATAGTCTCCCCATCTCGGGATCTGTAACTTAGTCATCGCATCTGCAAAGCCCCTCTCGCTACGTAAGGTGGTCAGTTCACAGGCTCCAGAAATTAGGACCTGGACATTCCTGCGTGTCCTGATTCAGGCCGCACAGGGTCTCGGTCCTGCTCTGGTCCTGTTGTCTCCCTCTGGTTTGCCCTTGTCCTTGGTAGCTCTCCTGTGCTCCGCTTTCTTCTGTGGGCTTGGAGTCTATAATCCTATTTTTTAAAGATTTATTTATTTATTTGAGAGAGAGAGCAGGGAGGGGGCAGAGGGAGTGGGAGAGAAGCAGGGAGTCGAATGTGGGGCCTGAGATCATGACCCAAGCCGAAATCAAGTGCCAGACACCCACTGGCCTCAGCTGCCCAGGCGCCCCATAATCCTATTTTTTTTTTTTTTAAGATTTATTTATTTGACAGAGAGAGATCACAAGCAGGCAGAGAGGCAGGCAGAGAGAGAGAAGGAAGCAGGCTCCCCGCTCAGAGAGAGCCCGATGCGGGGCTCGATCCCAGGACCCTGAGATCATGACCTGAGCCGAAGGCAACGGCTTAACCCACTGAGCCACCCAGGCGCCCCCTCATAATCCTATTTTTATTTTTCTACTTTTTACTCTTAAAAGTATTAACAGTCATTATTTATAAAGATATTTTCTTTTCAGATCCAGCGTTTATCTGGGCCTATAAGCTTCAGAAGAAAACAATAATTTTATTCTGACGTCCTTGATGCCTGCCCAGCTCTGCCCTAGCAGAGCACATGGCTTCCCGCGGAGGGGAGGACACGGTGGGGGGTGGGCGGACGGGAAGTGCACTGTCTGTGGGACGGGTCCAGGCAGAGTGGGGGACACATGTGCTCAGCACCCCCAGCCCCTAGAAGGCCCGCCTCCTAGAAGGGGCACAGGCTGCAGGTCAGGAGGTGTGCTGAAGGAGAACCGGGAAGGCACAGGGGCTGGTGCCTGAGGCCAGTAGGGGACGGAGAGGTGACACGGTGACAGGGCTGTGTGCAGATGGGGAAGGTCTGAGAATGTTCCAGGAGAGAGGGAGAGTCGGAGAGGGCATGACTGCTGCGTTAGAAGAGTTTCTCCTTTTTGGAGCCCCCGCCAGGGCAGGAGTCCCCTGCGGAAGCTGCCACGGAGCCTCGTGCTTCCCTCCCAGGCCCGAGGACGCTTCTTACAGAAACGGACATGGGGTCTTGCTGTTCACAGACACGCGTGTGTCCCCTCTCTCCGCAGGCCTGTCATGCACAAAAATGTCCGCTACAACTGCAGGGTGATATTTCTCAATGGGTAAGTGGCGGCCGCCTCCCCCAGGCTCTGCGGCCCTGGGCAAGCCCCTGGGAACCGGGTGGTCCCTGGAACCGCACGGTCCGTGGGAGCTGTGTGCTGGGCGGCAGCTCCAGAAACGCCCGGTCCTTAATGTCACTGCTTCTGGTCTCTGCCCACCGTAGACCCTTCGGGTATGAGGAGAGAGACCGTGGGGTGGGGCCGCTGGCTGGAAGTTGTTCGAGGGAGGGTGGTGTACCTGTTTCCCCTGCAGACACCGCACTTCAGCTGCCCGCACAGCACACCTGCTGGGTCTTGCCGACTCGGTCGTCGTCCATTGTCGGGAGGGCAGACCCGTGGGCCGTCCCTGGCTGCTAGACGTTCATCTCAGGCACCGTCCTGTTCTCCTGCCCGCAGGAAGATCCTGCTCATCAGACCCAAAATGGCCTTGGCCAATGAGGGCAACTACCGGGAGCTGCGCTGGTTCACCCCGTGGTCCCGGAGCCGGTGAGTCCCGCTGCCCCGAGCAGGGATGCACGGGTCGTGGCCACTCCGTGGACGCTCGTGTCATGTCTTCCCTGGGCAGAGCCGCAGTCCGCGTCCTGGGGGAGGTGCGTGAGAACCCGGGGCACATTCCCGCCGTTTCGGGCACAACACTCTGGAGGCTGCTGGTTACAGGGCGGCTGCTTTAGTACAGAAGCTCATCGACTGTGGCCCCTCGAGCAGCTGGTGTCTGGGGGGCCCAGCCCGAGGCTTCGGGCCGTCCTCTGCACGGCACACGGTGCGGCAGCGCCCCCGGCCTCCCCCACAGGCAGCCCGTTTGTGACAGCCTTCGATGTGTCCTGACTTTGCCAGGTGTGCCCTAGGGGGCACGGTCACCCCCGGGCTGAGAGACCCGCCCAGTGTGCTTGCCGGGCGCCGCTGCTGCTGCAGGTCGAGCTTCCAGTGACGGATCTTCGAATGCTCCATAGTCTTATGTAGGAAGACTTTGGAGTTTTGTGTATTTTGGGCATACACCCCCTTGCACAGCTCTGGGGGACTTCTCCTCCCTGCCCTGGGCTGACCCACGCGTCACTGTCTCTGAAGAGTTGCTCATTTGCAGGCACATGGCTTCTAGTAGGTTCCAGAGGTTCCCATCACCCCTCCTGAGGTTGATTCTAGGCCACGGTTTGCTCTAAGAGGATGTGATCAGGACAGCTAGGTGGGAGAGATGCACGGGGCTGGGTCTGGGGGTGCACCGCTCTCCCCAGATCTCCACGCGGTCGCCAACCTGAGAGCTCCCCGAACCTCCTTGTTCTCTGCGGTGTTCTGGAGGCTTCGTGACAAGCATGACTGATGGAATCATTGGCCTTTGGCCACTGAACTCCACCCCAGCCAGTGGTCCCTCCCCAGTCCTGGAGGTGGGTCCGAAAGCTCCAACTCCTGGGTTGGCCCCCCCGGCAACCTGCGGGCCTTTCCCACTGACACCATTAACATAAAAACACCTTTAGGGCCAGCTCAGTGCTGGGAAGACCAAGTCCACTTCTTATGGTAAATTCCAACTTTCTAAGCAAGGATCACCGAGGGGGGTTTCTGATACCTTGCCTGCCTGCAGATGTCTTTATGGGGCTCTTATGTGTGATGAATAGCTTTGCAGACTTTTAAAAAACCCTAGGTTAAACAGAACTTTTTTGTATAGTTTTCAATGTGTCCCTTGAAGGATTGTCTTTGGCTTGTGCCCTCGCTGGGGAGAAGCCTGCCACTACTCCGAGTTTTCTTCTCTCCAGGGCTGGTGGACAAGCTTCTCGTTATCGTTGGTCTCTTAACATTTTGTTCTACGGGCCTTGGTGTGGGTCTTTTGGCCCTTGTGTGAGGCCCTCTGTGGCCCTGTGACCCTTGGCTTCAGGAAAGGTCGTCCTTTCTGGGCAAGTTTCCGTTCTGGGTTCTGTTTCTGGAACGTCTCTTGATTGGGGATCCGATTTCCTGGGCCATCTTCTCTGGTGGTCTTAGCTCTGATTTCCCACATTCCAGAAGATTCCATCCTCCGACCCTCCATCTCTGCTGGAACCCGCATGTGGTCGTCTGCTGAGAGCGCTTTCCCGTTTTCTCTGCTTGCTTAGGTGAAGCACGAGCCGCACGGAGGGCTTGACTGTAGCTCTTACAGAGCAGGCGGCTCTGGCGGTGGGAGGTCGAACCCTGCCTCTGCCACCTGGCCAGGCCCCTTGGGGCCAGGAAAGCGACCCGACCTCTGTGCACCTTGGGGCCCGTCATGGCGGTGACCCCGTAGGGCTGTGGTTGCGGGGCTGACGCGAGTCAGCGTGTGAGGCGCTGAGCGCAGCGTGTGGCCGGCGCCAGCGTGGCCTGTCCCTGTCCTCGTGGTCTCCTTAGCTCTGCAAAGGGCGCCGACGGGCGGTGGGGACGCAGCCGTGCTTGCCAAGTGCCCGGAGGTGCTGCTCAGGGTGGATGAGGGACTCCTGAATCAATAAAAACCGGAAAACGTTCTCAGTCCGCGAAACTCAAACGGGCAACTAAAGGTACAAAGAACAATGGCAGAATTTGACAGAAGCGCCGGACGGGCGAGCCGATGCTGGAGAGTGCGAGAACGGCAGCCCGTGTGAGCCGGTGGCACCGTGGGACGCACCAGGTCCCGGCGAGGGCACCAGACCAAGGGCGACTTTGCAGAACAGTTTGGCATGGCCTTGTGGGGGGGCAGCACCCCCCTCCCCCGTGCTGTGAACCTGTGGGCACCTTGCGGGGATGAGGCAGGACGCCCGCAGGGAGCCGCAGGCTGGGGACAGCGGGGACCGTGTGAGGCACGTCGAAGCCGGGGGCAGGTGCACCGGCCGGTGGCCGTCGGCGCACAGCTGTCGGCCAGGCCGTGCCTCGCGGGCACAGCTTCCAGCTGCCGGGCTCCTCCTGCCGTCCCCGTGTGCACCCAGCAGTGTTGACATGACCGTCGGGACTTCAATTTTTTTAAAGATTTATTTGTTCACTTGAGAGAGAGAGAGAGAGAGAGCACGCGCTGGGGACGGGCAGGGGACAAGCAGGCTCCCCGCTGAGCAGGGAGCCCGATGTGGGACTCGATCCCAGGGCCCTGAGACCATGACCTGAGCCGAAGCAGACGCTTCACCCGCTGTGCCCCCCGGCCCCCTGCTGTCGGGGCTGTGATCTGGGGAACCTTTTCTGTCTCTCGCTCTCAGACGCTTTCGTTCTGTTGCCTTCGCCGTGGGGCGCCACGAGTCCGGGTCTTCGGTCCTCTCTCCGCCCACGCACCTGTATTTTCTCTTGGGGCCTCATTCCTCTAACCCTGTCCTCTGTGCTGTGCCCGGCCGGAGACTCTGTTCTTCAGATCTGTGCAGGTCCCCGGTTTCAGACCCTTTTCCTCGCGCACAGGCTCTCCTGCCTTCCACCGTCTGATCATCTCTTCTCTGGGATCTGTTCCTGGGGCGTGCTGTCTGGATTTCCTGGGAGTCTGGTGTCGCCCGTCCCTGTCATGTGGACATGTGGGTCTCGCGGTGGCTCCTTCAGATGGGCACTTGCGTGATGAGGCTCGTGGCGGGGTCGTGGCAGACACCGAGCTAGATCCGCCACTCTCTCTTTAGCACCATTGAAACGACAGAGGTTTTTACCCACAGGCGCCGTGCCAAAATGGTCTCGATGCTTGGGCACGTCCCTGTGTCCCTACCATAGTGATGACCGCATGACAGATTCAGGCCCGAGGAAACGAGAAAAAACAATCCGGTTCTTGACGGCAGAGAACTCGAGAATCTACTCGTTGTCGTTATGTTCTCGGTCGTGCCCCCAGATTTAAGCGCGGTGAGGCAGGCGTCACGGGGGCTCTGTAGCTGCTCGGGGCAGAGAAGGCTTATGGTGGCCAGGCCAAAACGGGTCTCTTGGCGGGAGTCCGCAGCTAGGTTTTTCCAGAGGGTGTTGGCTGGGAGGAAAGGGTGTCCAGCCAGAGAAGAGCATAGGCTGTGCACAGGAGTCAGGTATGGGGTCCGTGGGAGAAGGTCGGGCCAGCCTGAGCCAAGCTCCGGATGACAGGCTACGGTGCAGGGCCTGTACTCACGATGTCTGCTCTGGATGAGCCCGGCGAGTTTCACCGGCCAGGTACAAGGTGATCGCTGGCCTTGGAGCAGAGACTGAGCGCAGCGGTGACCGCATACCGTCTCCCGGTGGTTTGCTTTGGTCTCGTCCTCAGTGGGTCCTGGTGGGGGTGGCGGGGAAGGAGGGAAGGGACAAACCTTGGGGTGGGGGGACTCTTCCCTTCAAGGAGCGTTTTGACGCAGTGACATCGCCGTCAGCGAGTTGCCCGTGGTGGGTAGAGAGCTCGCTGTGGGGCGGCAGGGTGTCTCGGAGGTCAGCAGGGTCGCCTGTCCCCGTCCCCGTCCGTAGCGCAGGACAGAAGGCAGCACCCTCCAATTTCCCAGCATTATGATTTACTTAAGTAAAAGCTGCTGCCGCCATCCCAGAAGGTTCTTGTGAATTCTCAGAAAAAAGAAATACACGTAACTCCGTGTCTTTGTGGTGCGTCTTGTAACAGCCCGTTTGGGGTTGGATCTGTGAACTATTTTTTACATTCAGGCTCTCCGCGTAGCCCTTGGGGAGGCGGGTCACCTAAGTTCTGTGTTAGACTGTCCGTCTCGTCCCGCTGGGAGACCGTTCGGTCTTCTCGGCGATGGTTCGCAGTCGTGTTGGCTAATGCGCTGTGCTGTTCTGGGCTCAGAGACTGGTCGGGACGTCCAGCTGGATTTCTCCTGGGGGAAGCGGGACGGCTCTGCAGAGAACGGCTGTGACATGTGTCTCAGGAGCGCTGGAGCACAAGGCGCAGGGAAACCAAGTCGGTCGGAGCCCCCGGGTACCATGGTGTCCGCGAGGAGAACGCACCAGTTTCCTCTGTTCACCCTACGTGCTTCTCTTCCCCCGACGGGGACGGTTAAGGCGCGTGCGCAGCTGACTGCCCTCCGCCGGGCCATGGGTTTGAAGCTCGGGGCGGGTCTTTGCTCACGCTGGGACGCTGTCGTCTTGCTTTCTGAGGTGCTCGTCCTCAGGTCTGTGGTGTTTCCCTCCCCAGGCAGACAGAGGAGTATTTTCTCCCCCGGATGATACAGGATGTGACGAAGCAGGTGAGTGTGACTGGATCTCATTTTCCCGCCAGATGTCCCTGTTCTGGGCTAACGTGCACCACATGGGGCAGGACCCTAACCCACCCTGACGGGTGGAGAAACAAAACCAAACATGGGGAGAGATTCCTGTACGAGCAGGGAGGCTGGGGCCCCGGGGGTGCTGGGTGCCTCCTTACGTCAGAGATGCTGTGCCCGTTCGTGCCTCCCCCTCTCCTCCGGCTCACCTGCCGGGGTACCAGGGGAGCTGGGGTGCCAGGGGAGCTGGGGGAGGGGTCCCCACCCCACCTCAGTGAGCTCCTTCTTGCTGGGGCTGCTGCCTGGGCCAAGGGACCACCCAAGCAGCCAACTGTGGGGTTGGGGAAGGAGGGTTCTAGTTGCAAAACTCAAGGAAGACTTTACGAGGCTGCCTGTTCAGTGTGTGACGACCCAGCGTCCGGCATCTGTCGTGTCTTTTGGACCTGGCCGGCCTGGCCTTCTGAGCTGGGATCGTCTGGTCTGATCCGGGGGCCGCGTCCACCCTCTTCCTATGGGAAGCCGCTGGGGTGATGGCTGGAGCCCTGCTCTGTCCACTTCCCACAGGTGGTCGGAAGTTGGGACACAGAGGGTGCTGCGGGGGGCCCTGCCTTCTCAGGGCTCTGCCTGCGGTCCCGTTCTGCTTGCCGGGGTGTCACTTGGCTCCGGCTGCCATAAGACAGCACCACAGATGGAGGGGACGGTGCTGAATGAGAGATGCTTGCCTCTCGGCCCTGGAGGCTGATGCCCGGGAGGCAGGGGCGGGCAGGGCGGGTCCTCCCGAGGCCTCTCTCCTTGTGTGTGGACGGCCGTGCTCTCCCTGGGTCCTCACGGCGTCGTCCCTCGAGCGTGTCTGTGTCCTGATTCCTTCTTCCTGTGAGGACCCTGGTCACCCTGGATCAGGGCCACCCCGGTGACCTCATGTTACCTTAACCACGTCCTCTAAGGCCCCCGCTCCAGATACGGTCAGGTTCTGAAGCGCGGGGGTGGGCAGCACTCCAACAAGCACAGTTCAGCTCGTGACACTGAGTTCTCTGTCCCCCGATGACTACACTCCAGGTGGCTCATGGCCATTTACAGACTCCCTCCAGCGGACGGCTTGGCCGGGATTCATCAGGGTCTCAGGGATGGGCTTGAGCCACAGCGGGGTCCCTCTCCCCTGATTCCCACGAGGTTCCGCCTCCGTTGGCCTCTTCGCCATCAACGGCTTCCTCTGCCTTGTCCCTGGAGAACAGTGGCCGCCCTGGCCTCTGGTTGGAGGTTATCTCCACCCGGGAGCCAGACTACGCCTCTGGCACGGGCTTTGATTCGTGAGCAAGGCCCTTCGAGGGGCCAGCTTGGGCTCAGTGCCTTCTGCACGGACAGTCAGGGACGGGCATGGCTGAGGTGACGGCAGGTCTGGTCACCTCCCAAGTGACCTGGACACTCCTTTGACCCTGAACTGCAGCAGTGAGCACATTCTAAAGTCTTCATGACCCAGAACAGACTCCGTGGGTGTTTGTATGTGTCCGTGTGTCTGTGTCTGAAACAGACGTGTCTACTGCAGTCCGGAGAGTGGGCTGCTCCCCATTTCATTCTTACGGGATCATAGTATATCCTAAAAACCATCTCAGGGGAGACACACAGGGCTGACATGGGACAGAATTTGCTGTTGGAAGGATTTTGCGGGGTCGCTGCTTGAAGGTGGTTCCCTGAATTGGCTTGAGTAACTGTGGGTGAAGGTTGAGGGACGTGTCCAGGAAGAGGGTGAGGACTGCCCAGGACCTGCTGTGCATGGACAGTTCAGGCCCCCGGAGGAGGGGCAGTGCATGAGCCCGGCTTTAGATACGTGGTTCACCAGCCTGTCACTCTGACCGTGGCCTTCTCACGATGGGGTGTGGATTCCAGCCATGCCCACGTGCTCACGTTTGCCACGTGGCCGTCGTGCAGGGACGCAGTGGTCCCACGGCAGCCAGCGGGGGTCCTGGGTGAGGCTGTCCTCACAGCCACAGTGAACAGTGACCTTGTCCGTCCGTGGCAGGAGGCATCAGAGAAGAAAGGGCCACGTTTACGCTGTGGCTCTTGCCGTGGGCAGTATGGGTGTCGCACTCACACACGCGCACGCGCACGCACAGATCAGGGAGCCCGGCCAGGTGTTCTAGGATGTGCTCCAGGCCTCGGGATCATTTCTTGGCTGAACAAAGCCCCACCTTTTCCGTAACTTTGGGATTACGGGTGGTAGCCAAGTTGGACCCATATCGGCATGACCTGTCAGCGTGGGGGGCTCAGGGCCTCCACGCCCCCGCCTGGTAGCCCGGGGAGGCTCTGCGCCTTCCTGGGGAGCTCCTGCCACGTGTGGTTGGTGAATGTGGCTCTTGGTGACGGACACGCTGGCCCTCCGGCCCTGCCCCTTGGGCTCTGGGCGATCTTTCTCAGGTTTCTTGAATGAGCCTCGGGTCCTTCTGGGCACAGGGGTGGGACCACCGGGTCAGACCGGCGAAAGCATGGGTGACGCAGAAAGGTGCACGGTGCCACGGCTGGCGTAGAATGGCCCTTGCTAAATGAGACCCTTTATTCTTAATAACGAGGATGACTGTGGGAATTTGTGCCAACGGAAGCTTCAAGTGCAGAGTGACACAGTGAGCCCCGCGGCCACACAGAGCACAGCCCCCAGCTAGTGAGATGCCCGCTGGTGCCAGGCCGTGTGGGCTGGGACTGCTCCACACTGGGATGGGGAGGAAAAGGGTGGTGAGGTCAGGACACAGCCCGGATGGGCCACGGCCAAGGGGTCTCATGGGCCCTGTCCTCCGGCTGCAGGAGACCGTGCCCTTTGGGGACGCAGTGCTGGCCACCCGGGACACCTGCATCGGGAGTGAGATCTGTGAGGAGCTCTGGACGCCCCACAGGTCAGGCCCGGCCCCGTGCGCGGCAGCCCTGGCGGTGTGGCCTGGAGACCTTGGGGCTGGGGAGGGTGGGGCGGGCACGCAGCCCATCTCTTCCTGTCAACCGCCTCTGCCCGCAGCCCACACGTGGACATGGGCCTGGACGGCGTGGAGATCTTCACCAATGCCTCGGGCAGCCACCACGTGCTGCGCAAAGCCCACACCAGGGTTGATCTGGTGACCATGGCCACCGCCAAGGTAGGCACTAGGCCGCGATGCCGGGGTGTGCGCACTGTGGGCCGGTGCTGTGTCCCCCACGCCTGAACCCCCAGAGCCCAGGTGGACAAGGCCTGCATGGCAGGTGCCGGTGCCCGTGGTTATGGCCAGGGCTCAGCAACTGTGCACGGACTCCTCTCCTGGGGCCCCACCCGCCTGATCTCATTAAACCCCGGCAACCGGGAAGGCAGGCGCTGCCATCCCTGCTCCCTGGAGGAGGACACCTGGCTTATGGTGTCCAGTGGCCGCAGGCTCACTCCCCAGCATCCGGACCTGTCCCTAGGGTCGCGACGCTGGCGGCAGGAGTGCCGCGGGCTTGTTGGCGCTGAGCCAGAGCACGGGGAGTGCCCTCGAGGGGACCTCTCTCACTGGGCAGCACGGCACAGTCACAGGATAGGCTTGGGGTCAGCGAAGCCAGCTTGGGGTCTCGGCTTTGCCGTGTGGAGTTTGTCTTCCCTGGACTCCCACCTCCTCTGGTCATGTGAGGGTACTGGGGGGCTGGGGGCTGTGGGTGGTGACGGGCATCGGAAGGGCCCGTGGCGTGCGTGCGGTTTCCATGCAGGGGTGCTCTCTCTGGTGTGGCGGGAGGGCTGAGGACAGGGAGGTGAGGTCCCGCTGCCGTGCGTGTTCTCCAGAATGGTGGGATCTACTTGCTGGCCAACCAGAAGGGCTGTGACGGGGACCGGCTCTACTACGACGGCTGCGCCCTGATCGCCATGAATGGCTGCATTTTCGCACAGGGGTCCCAGTTCTCCCTGGACGACGTGGTAAGCAAGCGCGTGTGTGCCCCTGGGGGTGACCGCACTGGGGCAGGGGGACGGCTGTGCTGTCAGCAGTTGGGGACCCTGGGGCCCCAGGGAGGATGTGGAACCAGAGCTTCCTCAGGAATAAGCAGGCGTCAGTCCTGGTCCCCGCAGCGAGGGGGGTCGTTGGCGGGGGACCCGCGTCTGCAGGAGCGGAGCACAGGGGAGCTCGGCGGGGAGCTCGAGACCCGCTCACTGTTCCCCACGTGACCAGGCACGCGTGTGTCTGTGCTAGCTGTAGGCCCGATGCCACCCGGCCCCCACGTCCCCCTGCCCCCACGTCCTGGGAGCCCCGATGCTCCTCTAGGGGGGCCTGTCGCCCTGGGGCTGTATGGCTCACTGGATGCAGCCAGCCGGCCGTGGGCGGGCGTGTCTGCACGGGAGCTGTGGGTGCGCTCAGAAGGGTGTCACCACAGTCCGGGGTGGGTCAGGGACCAGGGGGTTGAGCCAAGGGGGCCTGTACAGAGCTGGTGGACACTCGGCCTCCTCCAGAGGACGTGGGTCTGGGCGCTGTCTGTCCCGCTAGCCCATCTGGCCACATTGGACGTGAATATCCTTCTCAGTGGAGGCGGCTGAGAGAAAGTCCTTGTGGAGAACTGTTTGCTCTTGCTTTTGTTTTTGGTTTTTTGCTTTTAAATTCAAAACAAAAGGAAATGGCTATTATTGCCAAAAATGGACACAAGTGTGGGTCCCACCGCAGGCCCGGAAAGTCAGCCCCGGGTTCCTAGCGGGCCCTCCCGCGGCATCTGCCATCTTCACTCGGAGGCCACCTGCCTGTGGGGACGGGGGACACGCTGATTCAGAGGGAGGGGTGGCTCCGTGAGCTTACTCACCGCGGAAACTCCCGCAGCCCTGCCAGAGCTCACATCAGGGAGGTGACGTCTGGTGCCTCCGCGGCCTTGCTGGGGTTGTGGGCAGGGCAGTGGTTATAAAACCGCTCTGGGTTTCAGAGCGGAGCCAGCAAGTTCCACGATGCCTCCTGGCCGGTGCAGGGTGGGAGCTCGGCTGCAGGGGCGCTCTCTGCCTCCCAGTTGACCCTCGGGCCGCGCTTGCTGTGTAACACTGTCCCCAGAGGCCTGCAGGTGTCTGCATTGGTCACAATGGAGACGGGAGGGTTTGACAGAAAGGTCAAGTGCTTGCAGAAGGCAGTGTGTCATCTTCTGTCCCGCCGGGATGCCCAGCTGTCTTTAGGCCAGGTCGACGCGGCCAAGACGCTGAGCCGCACGTCAGAGCCGCAGGCACCTGACCCGGGACTGACTGGCAGCGCACGGGGGGTCACCTGCACCAGGAACACCAGGTGTGCGGGTCCCTGCAGGCTCTGGGCCTCAGCCAGGCCTCACGGTTGGACCCTGGGGACCCTGTGTTTTAAGCACACGCCCAGCTGATTCGTAAGCGCACAAGAACCCGAGGGCCGTTGCCTCCTGTCTCCCCAAGGGGGGTCTTGGGCTGGAATTCTCTGATTCTGTCCAAGCGTGCAGGGAGAGAGGCCATCGCAGTCCTTGGGCCAAAGGCCGTGCCGCCTGCCACTTCCTCCGTGATCCACCTAAAATGATCTGAAGAAATTGTGTGGCACACAGGGCCATCGCACAGAGCGGCAGAGCTGCTGCCCCCTCCCCAGGACGCGCTTCTCGGGCTCTTCCAAACCTTGCGGGCTGGCTGGCTCCTTGGACACCTCCCTCAGGCGTTTCTGTGGACACTGACCCGTCCTGGGGAAGGTGGAGTGGAGGCGTCTTCTTACGAAAACGTTCACATCATCTGGCCTCTCTGTTTTCTATGGCCTCACACGTCCCTTGGCTTTGTCCTGTGCGGAGCCCGGTGGCTTTGGTGGCCCATCACTTTGGGAAATGACAGGGAGACCAAAGGACACATGCACTCCATTTTCTCTTTCTCTTCGTGGGTGTGTCCAGCTGGGGTCAGGCCTGGTGTTGACGACAGCAGCTGCCCACAGGCCCGTTCGCACGAGTGTGGGGGGCCACAGCCCCCCGTGTCATGCGGCGCGCAGGACTGGCTCTCGCTGTCCCAACTTGCCTGTAGTGACAATGTTCTAGTGACGCACTTTGACAAGGAGGTGTTTTTCATAAAGAAAGACATAAATGAATCAAAACCTTTTTTTTTTTTTTTTTGCTGTTTTTTGAAATGTTATTTTTTTTTCCATTTTGTGGTATTTTTGTATTCTTAACACTCCTGTCTCATCTGGGTTTGAGGGCAGGGACACGTCCCCATGATCACACAGGCAGCACCTCCCGGCCTCGCGCGTGGCTCGCCAGGGCTGTGGTCCAGCTCCCTGCCGTCCTCCAGCCTGGCTTCCTCTGTGTGGGCTTGGATCTGGGGTCGCCTCTCCCCCTGGGTGCGGGGTGGCGGCAGCGGCTCCCGCCGTCTCCTCTCTGCGCAGCCCGTGGGAAGCAGGGAAGGAACCCTTGCTCCTGAGCATCTCAGAAGTCTGTGGCAGACGTGGCCCTGTGCCGTGACAGAGGCAGCACTGACGCGTGTCTGAGTTCACTGGAGGCTGAGGTGGCAACAGTGAGAGGGGAGGGCGTCGGGTCAGCCGCAGCACCGGCTGTCCCCTCTCCCTGGGCCGCCGGGAACGTCCCTGCCTTGGAAGGTGTGACTCTCGTGTGCGATGTGGCGCACCTGTGAGCACGGCCAAGTGTGCCGCGTGAGTGGGGGGAGCGGGAATCACGCTTTCTCTTTGGCCCCTTCTCCAGGAGGTCCTCGCCGCCACGTTGGACTTGGAGGACGTTCGAAGCTACAGGGCGGAGATTTCATCTCGAAACCTGGCGGTGAGTCCACGGAGGCCCACGGGTGCTCTGCGGCGCCCCAGGGACTCTTCCTGAGCACGGGGCTGAGCTGTCATGGCCGCGCCACACCGTGCTGCGGGGGCTTCTGGCACGTTCACGGGGAGGCACAGCCCTCGGCTCGGCACAGCAGCAGGAACAAACCTGGAGCCGCGAGGCTCCCTCTGCGCCCCCTCCGCCCCCGCACAGCCACCAGCCTGCTTTTGGCCTCTGGGTTTGCCCGTGGTGGGCGGGGTGCACGGATGGGATCGTGTCTGGCTTGTGTCACGGAGCAGCACGTCTAGAGGATGTGTCTGTGGTGATGACTGGCCCCTGCGGAGGGCACGCGGCCTGTGTGTCCTTCTGTCTGATGAACGGACGCTCCGCGAACGTGTACGGGTTTCTGTGCGAGCGGCTTCTCTTGGGCCTGCGCTTGGGCGGGGAGCTGCTGGGCTGCGCGGTCACTCCGTGCCTTCATCTCTGAGGGATTTCCAGACTGTCCACAGCAGCGGCCCCTCGACGCACGAGGGTTCCAACGCCAGTCGTCCCGACTGCTTCCAACTCCAGCTGTCCCGCTGGGAGCGAAGGCTCGGCCGAGGTCCGACACGCACTCCTGCGGGCCTGCTGCCGCACCGGTGTCACGTTGTCGTGACTGTCCCTCCGCAGGCCAGCAAGGTGAGCCCCTACCCCCGTGTGAAGGTGGACTTCGCCCTCTCGTGCCGCGAGGACCTGCTGGAGCCACCGTCGGAGCCCATCGAGTGGACGTACCATAGTCCCGAGGAGGAGATCAGGTGGGCCGCCCGTGTGAGCTCAGGGCGGGGGTGCTGGTCCCGGGGCGCCCCCTGCGCCCGCTGTAGTGGTTTGCACCCTGCGGGGGGGGGGCGGGGGCCAGAGCCGTGTGGGCAGCTGGTTCCAACACCGTGCCCAGGGCGACCGCTCTGCGGGGAGGCCGGGCGGCGGCGGGGTGGAGCGCGTGGGGGGCACAGCCAGACGGCCTGGCTTCCTCGCCCAGCTGGGCCGCTTCCTTGTGCCGGGGCCTTGGGCACGGACACCCTGCCTGGCCTTTCCTTTTTGTGTCTCAGTTTTTCTGTTTGAAAACGGGGCCAAAAGATAATCACCTACTTCCCAGGGCGGTTTGGAGAAACAATGTGTTCATTCCCATGAAGTGCTTATCACAGAGGCTTGGTGAATCGGGGGCCCCTCCCCCGGCAGCTCTCCCGGCGCTGCTCGTACCGCGGCACATGGCCCAGGTGAACTGCCGACCGGGGCAGCGGCTCCCGACCTCACGCGCCCCCTTGCTCCGCAGCCTCGGACCCGCGTGCTGGCTCTGGGACTTTCTGAGACGCAGCCGGCAGGTGAGCTTCCCCGTGTTTGCGTGAGTCCGGCGGGCTGGGACTCTGTCCATCCCGCTGCCTCCGTCAGCTGCTTAGTCTGCGCGAGGCAAAGGCCAAAGGGCCTCTGGAGGTTTGGTTCCGTCTTTGGGGTCCTGTCTGGTGACACTGAGCGCGATGGGACAGCATCTCCCAGTGGTTCCGTGCGTCTGCCGTCTGCCGTCTGCCTGAGGAGGACGCGTCCTACGTGCCCGTCGCACTGAGAGGTCCCTTCCCTCTAGAAGATCCGTCGGAGACGTGCGCCTTTCTTCCCCCGCATCTGTGGGGGGGACGAGGCTAAATTCGGGGTGTGCTGCTCCGCCAAGGCTCTGCTCACCCCTGCCTGTGGTTGGCCCGTTCTAGGCCGGGTTCTTCTTGCCCCTGAGTGGTGGGGTGGACAGCGCGGCCACCGCCTGCCTCGTCTATTCCATGTGCCGCGAGGTCTGCGAGGCCGTGAAGCAGGGAAGTAGGTAGCATCCTGTGACCCGAGCGAGGCTCCAGGGTGGGGACCGGGCTGATGGGTCCCCGCCATTGCGGGTGAAGGGGGCTCTGCAGACGCGCTCAGGTGGGGACAGCAGGCCACAAGAGCCCCTCCCTGGGGCTCGGGCCCGCGTGGCCGTGGCCATCTAGGCCGCTGTTGCTGCTGGGCACTGGCCTTGTGGCCTGGGCCTTGGGCTCAGGCAGACCCGGGTCGAGATCCTCCCCCGCGCACCCTGCATCGACCGTCCCCTTAACGTGTACGCCGGAAACACGAGGGGGAAGCTCCACATGGGGAGACGTTGCCTGGGCGAAGGGAGGGCCTGGGCTCTGAGCACTGCACAGCGGGGAGCCGCCACCCGCTTCCCATCATCTGGTGGTTTGTAGACCAGGAAGTGCTGGCTGATGTCCGGACCATCGTGGACGAGCTCAGCTACACCCCCCAGGACCCCCGGGACCTCTGCGGGCGCGTGCTGACCACCTGCTACATGGCCAGCGAGAACTCATCTCAGGAGACGTGTGGCAGAGCCAGGGAGCTGGCCCAGCAGATCGGCAGGTACAGGAGGCGGTGGGCATGGGGTGGGGGCTCTGGGGCGGGACCAGTGCCACTGGAAGCCTCGCCGAAGCCCACGCTCCTGGCTAGACGTGCGTCCGGGTTTGAACAGGTTCCTAGGGCGTGCCGTGAGCCAGGGCTTAGAGAGACTATTCCAGGTCCCCCAGACCCTCGCTGTGTCTGATCACACCCCTCCTTCCCATCGTCCTCACGTCCCGGGCGCCGGTGCATTCTGGAACTGGACGCAGCCCCCAGAGCTCACCCGCGGAGAGCACACTTTCACGTGGTCGGACGGTGAACCCGGGGTTGCGTGTGTTACGTGTGCGCACACACACCCCATGCACACCTGCCCTTTCCCTGGCAGCCACCACATCGGTCTCAACATCGAGCCCGCAGTGACGGCCGTCGTGGGCATCTTTAGCCTGGTGACAGGTCGAAGGCCTCTGTTCGCGGCTCACGGGGGGAGCAGCAGGGAGAACCTGGCCCTGCAGAACGTGCAGGTGAGCCTTTCGGCCGGGCGCTCGTCCCCACACGGGAGCTGCAGGGAGCACGGGGACCTCGTGCACCAGGCGGAGGTTGCGCCTGCCCTCGTGTGTGGGTGTGCGGGAGCAGGAGGCTGCGGGGTTGTCTGTGAGGGCTGCCTGGGCGGACGCATGGACGTGCGTGTGTGCGAGTGCACAAGCATGTGTGTACAGGTTGGTGCGGCGTGACGCGCACGTGTGTGAGTTTCCTGCATCTCCAGGGAGGGGCTCCCCGTGTCCCCTCCCGGGCTGCTTCGGGGGGGCCCAGCCAGCCGGTTGTGGAGAGCCCCTGGGCTCTAGCTGCTGCGCTCTATCCCATCTCTGTCCCTTCCTTCTGGCCACAGCGGCCTTCCCTCCGCCTGAAATGCCGGCTGTGAAGGGGGTGCGACAGGGGGCCCATTCCGCCCCGAGCACTCTCGGCCCCCCGGCTCGGGCTCCGGCTCCGTCCATCTCGCCCGTCGCGCCTGCATGTGTGATGTGGCGGCGGTCAGGCCCGGAGGACTCTGCTTCCTCTGCACGCTAGAAAACTTCTACGCTACTTGGAGCCACTTTCCCTGTAGCTGTACGGGGGCGGGGGGGAGCCAGTATGTCCCCGCCATGTCTAGCACAGGGTGACATTTCCCGTCGTGTCCCCCAGGCTCGGCTAAGGATGGTCGTGGCGTATCTGTTTGCTCAGCTGAGCCTCTGGGCCCGGGGCGCTCGTGGAGGACTGCTCGTGCTCGGATCGGCCAACGTTGACGAGAGGTGCGTGCGCCTGACTCCCGAGTGCCCCAGACTTCCGAGGGTGCGCGCTCCCCAAGATGGTGTTTCCAGGGCCCTGCCCGTTCTCACTGAGTCTGTGAGACGCATGGTGTGGGGGTCACATCACCCCACGCACAGGCCACGTCTGGTGCCCACGGGATGTCATTGCTCCAGAGCTTCCCAATGACTCGGGTGTGGAGACAGGTCCACACCGTTTCCCTCCGGCTCCCTGACCACCGGCCCGGCCCTGCACCCGGCTTGGGGCCCTTCGCTCTGGGTCTGGAATCTCTCCCCACCCCACCTTGCTGGGTCTCACCCGTCTCTTTTCCGGGGCAGTTCCAGCATGTTCTAGGTCCTTGCTCTGGGTCCCGTTCTCACTCCCAAGCAGATAGCTCGTCTCTGACGGGGACTTGACATACTTCCTCATATTGTTTGCTGCTCAGAAACACTCAGAGCCTCTCTGTCGTTCTTCAGATAAATTTCAGCTGAACCTTCATGTGCGCGGCGGAGGCCGGGAGCACTGCTCCAGCCTCGTCTCCCGTTTGTCTTAGGCGGGGCCTCGCTCAGGTGTTCTCACTGCTCCTTGTTAGCAGAGGACGTCAGGAGCTTCCTCTGTCATCTATTCGTCTGTTCCTCTGTGTATCGGGCCATGTGTCCGTCCGCCCGTCCGTCCGTCCGTCCATCCATCCGCCCACCCGTCCGTCCGTCCATCCCTCCATCCGTCCATCCCTCTGCCCGTCCATCCATCCGCCCGTCCGTCCGCCCGTCCGTACATCCGTCCGTCCATCCGCCCACCCGTCCGTCCGTCCGTCCATCCCTCCATCCGCCCACCCGTCCGTCCGTCCATCCCTCCATCCGTCCATCCATCCGTCCATCCGTCCGTCCATCCCTCCGCCCGTCCATCCCTCCATCCGTCCATCCGCCCGTCCATCCGTCCGTCCATCCCTCCATCCGTCCATCCGCCCGTCCGTCCATCCATCCGTACATCCGTCCGTCCATCCCTCCGCCCGTCCATCCCTCCATCCGTCCATCCCTCCGCCCGTCCATCCCTCCGTCCGTCCATCCCTCCGCCCGTCCATCCATCCGCCCGTCCGTCCGTCCATCCCTCCGCCCGTCCATCCCTCCATCCGTCCATCCCTCTGCCCGTCCATCCATCCGCCCGTCCGTCCGCCCGTCCGTACATCCGTC